ATCTATCTACGATGTGGTCATTGTCATGAAGTAGGTGTCCTTCTTTGTCCCTTATTTGCTTTGGTGTTTGTGGAACCTTTTCGGTTCTTAAATTCTTCAGGGTTTTAAAGAATAACTTTTCGTTAGAGTGGTAGTCTTCTTCTATCTTGTTTCCGAATTCTTCCCAGCTTTTCCGTTTCTTTCTTCCGCTTTGACTTTGATTCTTTGGAGTTTATATATTTGGTAGTCTGCAGTTCCGTTCCTTAAATAATTTTTCCAAGCTATCTTCTTGGACTTCATTTCTGCTTTTATTTCATTGTTCCACCAGTTTTTACACTTTTTGATTCTGTTATTTCTTGTTATTCCGCATGCTTGTTTACCATCGTGTCGGAGTGCTTCTTTCAGTATTTGCCAATTTTGGTCTGAGTCACAGTCATGTTCAGCGTGCTCTGTTAGCTAGTTTTTAACGTAGTTTTCAAACTTGTTTGCTGTCTCTTTGTCCGCTAGCTTATGTGACCTGATTACTTCTATAGTGGGTGTATCATGAGCTTTACTTGTTTTCTTGGTCTCTTTCCTTATTGATTCTTGTAGTACTCCCAAGCTGGTCCTGGCTACAACTAGATAGTGGTCACTATATATTTCAGCTCCTCGTTTTACTCTTACGTCTTTAATGCATTGTCTCGATGATCTATTTACTAACACATAGTCTCTTGTATATTTATGTGCATCTTTGTGTTTAAAAAATGTGTTCATTATTATTAAATTATTTTCTCTGCACTTATAATAATACGTTCCCCATTGTCATTTTTTATTTCTTCTCCATATGGTCCTAATACATCTTGGGTATGTTCATTTCTTACACCCACTCGACCATTTAGATCCCCTAGTACTATAGTATTGCCTTCTAAACTGTCTATTATTTCTGAGGCCGTATCCCAGAATAGGTCTTTGCTAGCTGCTCTTTCGTCATCATTTATTCCATACATAACGATGTTATTGACTAGTTTGTGTTCCGCAGTTAAAAGTCTTATCTTCAGAATTCTTTCTAAAATACATTCCCAATCTTGAATATTCTTTATTAGGTTACTGTGTATCAGGCAGCCTACCCCTTCTTTTGCCCTTTCGCGAAGTGACACTCCACTGGTTATGAGGAAGTGTCCTTTTTCTAAAAACTGTGTGTGTTTTCCCTTCTTTTTGGTCTCTGTTATACCCAATAAGTCTATTTGATTTTTCTCAAATTCTTCAGCAAGTTCGACTTCTTTGCCGTTGAGACCTCTGACATTCCACGTTGCTAATGTCCATCCTTTGGGCTTTAGCACTGATCCGTTATTGTGCGCCGTGTCAATTAAGCTCTTTCTCGTTTAATGCGGGTTTTACATAGTTACTGTTTATATTCTGGCTTGTTGCTGACTGCATTTTTATGGGTTTACCCTTTCTTGTCTCTCGTTGCTCACGTCCTTGGTCATTATTTATGGATCTATCTTTGTCTTTACTACCTATTCTATAACTACTCATGTCCGTTGGCATTGCCTGGTTTGTCATAGTTTTTTGTCCCCATTTTGACTAGGTTTGTTCTCTTTGTTGTCCCATTTCCAGCCGACCTTGTTGATCCATATTTTATTACCACCAAGTCTTACATCCTTTTCCCTCTCCTTTTCTTCTTGCGCAAGTTAACTAATTGTTTTCTGAATTTCTCTTTTTATTCGCAGTATCATCATTGATGTATACTTTTTCTTCTTCAACATATCTTAGTTTATAATTATTTTTCATAACCTTTACCTTTTCGTCATGTTCTGCTAATTCAATCAGACAGGTTTTCTCTCCCAGTTTGTGTGCATTTTTAATTTTAACATCTATCTTCAAATTGTGTTTAATGAAGTTGCTCATTCTTTGCTAGATTGCTAGTCCACTCGTGACTACATTGTTTTTTCTTCTTTGATTTTCCATGAATTCAATAGTTTCCTTGACTTCATTTAACTCCTTTTTAATTTTCATATTTTCTTTCTTCAGGTCTGTATTTTCTTCTCTTAAAGTTTGGTTATGAGCAATAAATCTTTCTATTGCTTCATTACTTCTGTTTTGGGTTCTCTTTATTTCTTTAATGTCACTTGCCAGATTGTTCGTCAAGTCTATTAATTTATTCAGTTTTGTCTCATCATGGTTATCTGTTGTTTTGGGTGGAATCTTGTAGAGTTTTCGACACTTCGTTGACCTTTCTTCTTCGTTATCTGAACCCTCATCTCTTGTCCTTCTTTTTGTGCCATCATCCGTTGTTCCGTCGCTGTCCAGACATGTTTTCTTTTGCAAGTATCTGTCCATTTTCGACGCCAAGCACTGTTTTCCACCTCAACGGTCCAGAGAAAACGATGCCTACCGTTTCCCTGCGATACTGTTATTTATTTTATTCTCTACTTAGAAATTCGTGTCTGTTTGGCAACGTCGCTTTAAAATCGGACAAGAATTTGATGTAATTACCGGTTCGATTGTTTATACTTCACTACTTATCAGTTAATCTTGTTTATTTGTTTTTAATTCACTCAAATGTTTTTTAATGTTTTACGCCCAAACCTTATTACTGTCATTAACTTATTATTTTAATTATACACATCGGCTTATTGCACTAAACTATTTTTCGCTGTAACTCTCGAATTTTCGGGATTATCACGGACGAAAAATAAAGTAAAAAAAAGGATATGATACAAATATAAAATTGCCCATCGAAGTTATTTTGTTTTAAAATCTAACAAAGTAGTTTGACGACTCAAATTTTTTTTCTTACGCAAAATTTGATCATAGCAGGCTTTTAATTTTTAATATTCTTTGTTTTGTAAAAGAAATGGGCTCTTCGTTGTAGTCTATATTTTCTAAAATTTGTAATCGCTTTTTAATTAAACTTAAGTCTTCAGTCAAGCTTTCAACCGTCATTTGATCCTTAGTTTGAACAGTATCCAAAAAAGTAAGCTCTGCATTTCTATGAGTATCAATTATCAGTTCCTGATTGCGGGAATCCAACAGTTCTTGAACGTCATTACTATTTAATTTATTTGCATGATGATATTAACAACTTCTTTAGTCGCATTACTAATTTAATCAGAGTCTGGCATCAATTCCACCTTAGTGTCAGTGATGAAAAAAGGGAGACAGTTTTTTCCTGACGCCGTTTGATGTTTTGTGTGAAATTTCATTCCAAGGTTTTCCAATGATTTGCCTCTAAAACGTTGAATTTTTCCCAAAGTCGTTAACAGAGAGCTCGTTGTTTTTTTATAACTTCAGACAGGTGTGCAAATGATCTTCCGGTGTAATAAGCTTTGAATGTTTTAAATACTCCCTGATCCATCGGTTGAATTAAGCTAGTTGTATTAGCTGGTAAAAATTCTACTGTCACACTTGGGTCAAAACTAGTTAAAGTTGCGGGAGGATGACTTGGTGCGTTGTCGATGATTACTATCACTCTAAATAGAAGTTGTGTAGATTGACAATAACGTTCGACTTCAGGCATGAAATTATGACCAAATCAATCCCCAAAAAGGGAATCTGTGAACGAAGCTTTATGATTAGACTACCAAATCACAGGTAAGCCAGATTTTAACTGGCTTACCTGTAATTTAAGTGTTAACATAACTTTTAATTTCTGTGCACAACTATTCCAATTATTTAAATCTGCTGAACCAACTGTTACTAGTTGTAAACTCTTCATCTTTAGCGATGTCTCTAAGATCCTCTTTCAATATCTCAAAAATCAACTTAGCTTGGAAGCACACTGTGTACTAATCATTCACAATTATCACACCATAATTTTAACATAGTTTCCATCTCGGCAATAATAGCGTGACCTTTAGAAACGATGACTGAATTTAAAGATTGAAAAAAACCTTTTGTTCTGGCCGTCGATTCGACAGATCAAACTTGTTTGCTAATTCACAAAATTGAATTTTTGTATCAAAATCTTAATTATTTTAAGTTTAAATTGATGAGATTTGAAAATCGCTTAACTCTGGGTTCGCGTAAGTCAGGGTAGCATAAGTTGAGGTAAATATGTATGAGGATGTATATGTATACGTAGTATAGGTCAGCGGAGCACGATTTTTTAGTCTTTGTATCTAAATTGAGAACACCAGAATACTGTCGCGATTTCAAGGTTGATTCCTATCATCAGACACGCATAGATGTATAAGAACTCAAATCCAAAGATCATCAAGACTGCTCTACATATTTTGCCACCTAAGTGGCAGACTGAAAAATCGTGTTCCTAAGCCATATATTGCCTTAAATACATCTAAGCTATATAAAGCTGTTCTGAAAGATATATTTTGCGAAGTTCGTCTTGCGCAAAGGACAGAGATCGAAAAATTGATAAATTGTTTTCGTTTATGGGCATCAAATTAGATGACACTGGATACTATCGATGAACAGAACGATTTAGTAGCCACCTCGTTCTGTGGACTTACGGCCAAATATACCGACAACAAAATTTATGGCCATCTTCATAAAAAGGCAAAGTTTAAAATAACTCAAACGTAATATTACCGAAATTTTAAGTTAGGAATTTGCGAAGACCAAAAGGTGGCATTTTTTAACCATTATGTAGTTGAAGAACTGACCTAATGAAACATTTTTGAATAAATAGTTGTTTTCATTTGTAAGTCAGAAATTCTCCATTTCATATTTGAATTATATTTTATTCTTTAAAATGTCTTGTTTGAGCCAGATCTATGATTAATATTCAATGTAAAAAGCAATATTTATCAAACTAATATTTTACGTTCCACGTTTGTCGTGGCAGTTATTTTACTAGCGATCAGTTAAAACTAAATTTGACTTCGACTGTTTTAAACGTTTAATATTTATAATAACAAAAGAATGAGTGGTAACGACTAATTATTGTGTGACGTTGTAAGATGTATCTCTTGTATATTAATTTTTTGAGTTCCAACCCTGTATATTAGCATTAAGCCTCTCTAAAGAAATTGTGTAGTAAACATTGTTTTTTACTTCTTAAATTTGTTTATGTTGTGTTTTAGGTTAAAAAGGGTCTAGAGTCTCTATATAAAAAGGTAGAAAAACATTTGTCGGAAGAAGAAAACCTTTTACAGGTAGTATGGAGAGCGATGCAAGAAGAATTCATCAGGCAATACAAAACCTTAGAGGATATAATACATCAGTGTTATCCGGGCTCCATGATCTCGTTAGAATTTACCATCGAGGACATCTTAATGTTCTTTTCCGATATTGCTCAATCTCATTGATAGTTCAAATATGTAAACAACAAACGTACTATTTATATACAGATATATCTTTCTTGTTGTAGATATATCTAAATCGGTCATTCTATGACAAATTTTACGCCAATTGACACAAAAGGGTTGAAGTTATCAGTGGGCAAAGTAACACAAAAACTATCCGTGAGCATGGTAACCCTTAAACTGTGTCAGCTGGAAAGTTAATATTTTTCGGGATAAAAAAAAATAAAAAAATTGTTTATTTATTTATTTTCAACGGGCTGCTGCCCAATAAGATTAAAATACCGTAAATTACTTCTTCTCACTTTCTAATTGTGCCTAATGTATGATATTGAACGTTTACAGTTTAATTTCAATTTTTCCTTTCAGTATCAGCTGTAGAAGATCATATAGTATTTGTTTCAGCTTGTGAAATATCAGTGCTTTTTCATCGGTTTGATTAATTTATCAGCTTTGCGGTTTTATTGAATCTTGATATTTTTTAATATTTATTAGCAAACACCAAGTGTGGTTTCCAAGTTTCGAGGCGCAAACTTTAAAAAGGCCCATTTTAGCGTCATTTGCTAAGTAAATCCTGATAATGAAACATAAAATACCAGATAAAACTATCACTTAGCTGATACGACACTGAATAATTGCTGAGCTTCCGTAATTTTATCAAATAAGTCTACTTTTTAATTAATTATTTATGTAATTGATGGATTCGACCGTTACTTGATGGAAATTCCTTTTTTGGTACAATAAAACATTGAAAACTTTGTTTTCAAACTTCTACAAAATTTATTTTAACTCTTATCAATACAGCTGTTTCGGCTGATTGCCTTTCTCAAGTGATCTATTTTTGGCATGCGTTTACAATTTATAGTCTCTAATGAAATAGGTTGAGTAGGGAAGAACTGTTTGTCTCAAGTTGGTCATTCAAAATTATATCTGTGTTTTTTAATTTGTTGATTTCCATAGATTCTAACAAAGATAGCTTAAGGCCTTTATTTTGAATGTGAATAATTTTAAATTTGTCATTAAAGAATGATTATGATCTAGAAGGTGAATTGCGTATGTCGAATCTGTTTTTCTATTATTGAAACCCCTTTTATGCTCTGCTATTCGTTTATTAAAGTGTCTACCAGTTTGACCGATGTAAGTTTTTGGGCAGTCGCCACATTGAAGTTTATACACACCACTATTTAAGTGTTTTTTATTTTGGCCTTTGTTATTTTTAATATATTTGCCTAGGTTGTTATTTATTCTGAAAGCTGGTGTTATTCCTTTCTTTTTTATGTGTTTGGCTATTTTTGTTGTTATTTTGCCTGTATATGTAATCGAGCAGAATGTTGTATCCATTGTTTACTGCTATTTGCTTAATTATATTTAATTCTATCTCAAAGTTGTATTTTGACATCGGAATTTGTTAATGTATGTAACATACATTAACAAATTCTGGGCTGGGTTTTTTCTCTGGTGGTGGAAATACTAATTTCAGGGCTTTCTTGTGTAGTTTTTGATTTAACATTTTATTAGGTAATATAATAGATAAAAAATCAATACACAGTGTAAAAAACTAAATAATCTAGTTTGCAATAGTAAAAAACCCAATATTCATTATACAAAAAGTTTTTCGAACCATACTTTTTTCAATAGATTTATAAATTTAACAGATACTAAATTTAGTAATAGCGAGATACAACTTTTAGAGAAAGGATTTAAACACAACTTGCCCCAACATAATAATGAGAGAACTTTAGAATATTTAGGTGTAGAATGTGAAGTAGCGTTAAACAAAACTGCTAACAATATCGAAAAAAGTATAATTGCCAAATCTATTACTGATGTGTGTAGTGAAACTGAGAATTCCTGTTACAACAAGAATAAAACAGCAATTTCAATTAAAAATTAATCAATAGAAAACAACATTGTGTTTACAAAAGCAGACAAAGGTAAGACTACTATTGCTATAGATAAAATAGAATATAAAAACAAAACAATAGAATTATTGTTTGTTACAAACAGAAAAATATTAAAAACAAATTAAGCTAGCGTTAGAAAATTCAAAATCAATAGTAAACCCAATAGAACAGAAATACCTCAATATCATGAACCCACAACCTCCTAAATTATACTCTTTCATTAAACTACACAAACCGGATCACCCAAGAAGACCTGTAGTGTCTTTTTATACAGCTCCATCATATAAACTTTCAAAAAAAACTGTTAGAGATTATTTTAGAACACACTAAATTTTCATCTAAATTTACAATAAAAAATACAATAGAACTAGTTAATAAAATACAACATTTTCAATTACCTAACAACTCCAGATTAATTTCATTTGACGTAAAAAATCTTTTTCCTAATATCCCTCCTACAGAAACTTTTATTCTAGTAAAAAACCTTTTAGACCAAAATAGTACAAATCCAATAATTACATCTGAAAATTTACATCTTTTTGAAGTTTGCATAAACCAGGACTACTTTGAATTTAATAATCAAATATATACAAATAACAGTGCAGGACTTATAATGGGCAGTCCTCTAAGCCCATTACTATCAGATATTTTTATGGATCATCTAGAGACAAAGATTTCAAAACATCCCGTATTCAAACAATTTCTATATTGATGGAGATACGTAGACGACGTACTGGTATGTTTTACGGGAACTAACAGACAACTCCACCAATTTGTATCGTTTATTAATTCACTTCATAGTCATATTGAATTTACAATAGAAACAGAACAAAATCAATCCATAAATTTTTTAGATTTAAAAATTATCAGACTTAAAAACAAACATGACTTCTCCATATTTCATAAACCTACCCATACTTACACGACTATACACAAGTCATCATCCCATCCAACACAACATAAACTAGCAGCTTATCATATGTTTGTTATATGAATTTGTTAATGTATGTTACATACATTAACAAATTCCGATGTCAAAATACAACTTTGAGACAGAATTAAATATAATTAAGCAAATAGCAGTAAACAATGGATACAACATTCTGCTCGATTACATATACAGGCAAAATAACAACAAAAATAGCCAAACACATAAAAAAGAAAGGAATAACACCAGCTTTCCGAACAAATAACAACCTAGGCAAATATATTAAAAATAACAAGAGCCAAAATAAAAAACACTTAAATAGTGGTGTGTATAAACTTCAATGTGGCGACTGCCCAAAAACTTACATCGGTCAAACTGGTAGAAACTTTAATAAACGAATACAAAATAGAAAAACAGATTCGACATACGCACTTCACCTTGTAGATCATAATCATTCTTTTAATGACAAATTTAAAATTCTTCACATTCAAAATAAAGGCCTTAAGCTATCTTTGTTAGAATCTATGGAAACCAACAAATTAAAAAACACAGATATAATTCTGAATGACCAACTTGAGACAAACAGTTCTCCCCTCCTCAACCTATTTTTATTAGAGACTATAAATTGCAAACGCATGCCAAAAATAGATCACTTGAGAAAGGCAATCAGCCGAAACAGCTGTAGTGATAAGAGTTAAAATAAATTTTGTTGAAGTTTGAAAACAAAGTTTTCAGTGTTTTATTGTTATAATTATTTATGTTTTACCAAACATTATGTATCGTAATACAATGGACAATTGCAGCAATACCGATCAATAATTAGTCATGAAATAAATTATTGAACGGCATTACTTCTTCAGAACTCTATATTCACTCTATAGGCTTTTGCAGCATCTGTTAACCAAATTTGTTGTTTTTTTATTTGCATATATTATATAATAACCATATATTACTATATAACTATTAAAATACTGTATAAATTGTAAATATTATATTAAAATGTTTATATATTACTTTTTATTTATTTCCAACTTTCCCCATTTTAAGTATCATAGATAAATCAGGATTTGTAGATTCCAAAGATAGCTTATAGAAAGTGCTGGTCAAAGAAAAATCATTTTCATAATGAAATTCAATTAGTATACATGATCAATTAAAAAAATAAATTATTTAAAAAATGTTTTATCCCAGAAATTATTAGCGAAGACACGAATATTTCATTATAACAATCTACATGACATTGACATTAGAATAAAACCATGCTGTTCTAATACAGACCTGCAATAAGCTGAAGAATTTCTACATGTACCATCTTCTCTATAGATAATCATCATGACAATTTGCACTTTGGACACCGATGCTCTAAAAAGATCAGCAGGAGTGCAGTTAAACCATAAATGGTGTCTTTCTGTATTTTGGGACAATCTATTTTCGTCACTAACTTCTACCATCATGTCGACCAATCCAGTAAATCCTCAAGACATTGCATTAATAGTATCGTCTGCGAACCGTATATTATTGATTTGTCAATCATTCCCTTTTGTGTTTTCGATCATCATCAATTAGCCTATATTTGTCCACTGCTGAACGTAGGCTTCCCGTAAAATTTTCCGCCTTCCGCCAATTTCTATCTTGAGCTTCTTGCATCCAGTTTGTGGTGATGCGCTTGATATCATCCGTCCATCTAGTCCGTGGTCGTCCTCTGCTTCGATATGCCTCTTGTCTTGGTCGCCATTCCAGAATCTTTCTGGTCCATCTATCATCCGTTAATCTGGCAACATGTCCGGCCCAAGCCCATTTAGCCATGACTATTTTTCCAACTGCATCTGTAACTCCTTTTCTTCTTATTTCTAGGTTTGGTACTTTATCTCTGATAGTAATACATAATATTGATCTTTCTATAGTGCGTTGTGTAACTCTTATTTTATCTATTGTTCTTTTTGTCAGAGTCAGTGTTTCTGCACCATATGTAAGAATCTGTAAAACGCACTGGTTAAAAACTTTTCTTTTTAAAAAAACTGGTATAATAGACTTATTCATGTTCAATGTTATTTAATACTTATATCAAAAACAGCCCATGTGAGACCTATCCTTCTTTTAATTTCAGTTGCTCGATTATCTCGGCCTAAGCGAATCTCATGGCCCTAGATATTTGTAAGCTATTACTTGGTCAA